ATGTCGTTTGGACCGACAAATGATCCAACAATTTTCATGGATCTGATGAACAGGGTCTTCAGACAGTTTTTGAATATTTTTGTGATCGTCTTTATAGATGGTATTCTGGTGTATTCAAAAGATCAAGTTATTCATGCAGATCATTTACATGCTGTGTTATAGGTTTTGAAAAAGAATACATTTTATGCCAAATTTTCTAAATGTGGTTTTTGGTTTAAAAGTGTGATTTTTATTGGGCACATTATCAGTGGAGATGACATATCTGTGGATTAGAACAAGTTTAATGTGATTACAAATTTGCCAAGACCTACTACTGTTACTGAGGTTAAGGGTTTTTTAGGTTTAACTAGTTATTCAAGAAAGTTTGTTGAGGAATTTTGCACATATTGTTATATCATGGTCAATGGTGACTCATAAGGCTGTAAAGTTTGATTGGTCTGATTGTTGTGGGGAGGCTTTTAAAAAGTTGGAGACTTGCTTAATGTCTGCTCTAGTTTTGGACATTTCTTCTGGATCTTATGAGTTTCAGATTTTCAATGATGCATTTTTGAGGGGTTTAGGTTGTGTACTTATGCAGCATGGTAGTGTCATTGCATATGCAACACAACAATTGAAGAATTATGAAATGAACTATCCTATATATGGCTTGGAGCTTGTTGTAGTTGTTTTTGCACTGAAGATATAGATGTATTATCTGTATGGGGTTAGATGTGAGATATTTATTGACCATTAGAGTTTGGAGTATATTTTCACTCAAAAAGAATTGAACTTGAGGCAGAGAAGATGACTGAAATTTATTAAAGATTATGATTTAGATATTCATTATTATCTAAGGAAGTTGAATGTGGCGTCAGATGCACCGAGTAGAAAATCTTCAAGTAATTTGAATTTATTTACTTAGCAAGAGCATTTTATTAAAGATCTGGAGAAGTTGAAGCCGACTATAGTCGATTATAATGATGATATTATGACTCTGTTATATTAGTTGATGGTGCGGCCAACTCTAAAAGGCAGAATTGGAGAATCTTTAGCTAGAGATAGCAGTATTCAAAAAGTTTTGGGGTAGGTTCAGGCAGGCGATTTGGAGAGATATGTTATAGATCATGATGGTCTATTGAGGTATAAAGACAGGGTTTATCTTCCAGATGTTGATGATCCGAGGAAGAAAATTCTAGAAGAAACATATTTATCCGACTATACTATTCACCCAGGGAGTAATAAAATGTATCGGGATCTCAAAGAGGCATTTTGGTGAGAAGTGTGGCAAAAGTTGTGACCAAGTGTCCTTCATGTCAGCTAGTGAAGGCAGAGCATCAGCGTACTGAAGGCCAGTTGCAACATTTTTCGATTTTAGTGTAGAAATGGGAGGAGATTGCGATGGATTTAGTTTTTGGTTTGTCGAGATTACGTTAGGGTCATGCAGCTATTTGGGTAATTGTCAATAGATTGACTAAATTTTTGATCATTTATTGCCTATTAGTCAGACAGATCCAGTTGAGAAGTTAGCCAAATTATATGTGGATCAAATTGAGAGATTACATGAAGTGCCGAAGTTTATTGTCTTTGTCAGAGATGACATGTTTAATTCCAGATTGTGGAATAAGGTTTAGGAAGCTTTAGGCACTCGATTAACTTTTAGTACAACATTTCTCCATCAAACAGGTAGGCAGTTAAAGAGGACTATCCAAACCTTGTTATGTGTTATTGACTTTGATAGAGGTTAGCAATCACATATACCTTTCATAGAGCTAGCTTACAATAACAGTTATCAGGCTAGCATTGGGATGACTCCATATGAAGCCTTGTATGGAATGCAGGACACTTCTATGTATATGATGCCAAACACAAATCTGTTGAATTTGAAGTTGGAGAGTTTGTTTTCATCAAGGTCAGTCCACCGAAGGGTGTGAAACGTTTTGGGAAGGCAAGAAAATTGAGGCCCAGATTTGTTGGTTCATTTGAGATTGTGGAGAGGATTGAGAATGGGCTTACAAATTGACTTTACCAGCTCATATGCAAGGAATGCATGATGTTTTTCACATTTCGTCAATCAGAAAGTATATGGCAGATGAAGTCAGTAAGATGATAGAAAATTTATTTGATATTCAACCTGATCTTATTTATGTTGAAGATTCTGAAAGGATTCTGAATTCTGATGTGTAGAAGCTGTTTGGGAGGTCACTGAGATGCAAGAAGATATCCTAAGCTTTTCTCTTGAGGTATGTTTACTTTTATGGTTATTTTGAAATTTTGAAGACAATTTTATAAAGATGGGAGATTGTAATAGCATAAAGTAAATAAAAAAAATAATAATTAAATAATATTAAGAGATGCAGCTGTTTGGAGAGACGCAACCCCTATTTCTCTCCTTCCATTGTCTTCTCATTCTTATCATCGAGCGAGAGGTTGCAGGAGAGATCGAGTTAGACGACATATTGTCGTGCCTTTGCCAAAGAGGAAAGAAGAAGAATTTGAAGGGATGAAGAAGGAGAGAAATATTTTTGTGCAATTTGAGGGTTCCTTCGGGTACTTTTTTGAGGGTGTCTTCAGAAACATTTTGAGGGTTCTTTCGAGCATATTTTTTACTATATCTTTGGGTATGGCGGTAATCTGTGATGACTATTAAAGAGGTTAAATTAGTAAATACTTAAAGTGCAACGAGAAGGAAAAATTTTAAATTTTTAATGAAATGAAATGCATTTTCTTTTGATCATTCATGAATAGCATGACATAGGAATTTAATGTATATTAGATTATAATTTTTCACTAAATTACACTTACAGTTGCAATTAATGTTTTCTTTCAGGAGAATAAAAGTTCTAGACGATATGTTTAGTAGGATATACTTGGTTTACAGGTAGAGGATCATTGCTACTGATAGTTATTAGATTATGATATGACTTTAGTTTTTTTTATTATTTGCTTCTGTATAGAGACACTTTATATGTTGGTCTAAGATGTTTTTCGCTTATGATGTTATTACAAGATGGTTAATTTTTATTGCGCTTTGTGGATTAGTGACTCTTTTACATATACTAAAAGTTTCTGAAATTTTTTAAAAGTAAAATGAAATGTTAATATCGTTCGATCGCGGTTCCCGCCTTAGTTAATTCTAAACACTGGACTGGGTCATGACAAAGTCAAAGAACCCAAACATAGTGAATACGAGGAAAAAGAAATCATAACATTAGATAATAAGAATAAATGTTGAAAGGAACATCCTAACATTGTTTTGATGCCATGTAAAAAATAAAAAAAATGAAAAACTTTCACGAATCTTATTATCTTCATTGTACAAGAGGGTTATATATGTGTATGCAACTTTAAGAGCCATTACTAAATAGAAATAAATAAAAAAGGAAGGAGAAGTAATTTGGGGCTAGCAATCCAATGGGAAAGAGCACGGATTGCAATATGAGGGCCATAGAGTAATAGATCCAATGGTATAAATACTTGATCCATGTGTCTTAAGCTCTTTATTATGATTGGAGTAGCAAAAGTTCAACACATTATATTTAAGCAACTTTTCTATTTTAACTATCATGTTTTTACTCTAAAAATTATCTTCTCATTTATATCAACGCTTTCACATTAGCTTCTCAAACCAATAGAAAAAGGATTAAAATTAATGTTGACCCTCTATAAATATGAGTGCTTGTCACCCCATAAATATTATTAATGATAGTTAGCGCTCCACACACACACACACACACACACACACACACACACACACACACATATATATGTTGGAGTAGCAAAAGTTCAACACATTATATTTAAGCAACTTTTCTATTTTAACTATCATGTTTGACCCTCTATAAATATGAGTGCTTGTCACCCCATAAATATTATTAATGATAGTTAGCGCTCCACACACACACACACACACACACACACACACACACACACACACACATACATATATATATGTA